TGCAGTCTTGAGTGCCTGCAGCTACCAGAAATCTAGATTAAATTTAATTTTGAAGATTAGGGTAAAAACAGTGTATAATTCTACAGTGCAAACCTAGCTAGTGGAAAAGCCAGTTTATAATAAAAACATGTAGGCTTAGCTTTCTGTTCAAGCTCAGTGTTGGCTCTGTTTGAGTTCTTAAGTGCAGCATGTAAACTTGAGTGTAGGCCTCAGTCCAAGTTAGAAGTTCAACTTTTAGTTCAGGTTTTTTCCCTGTTTTAAAAAACAACCTAGAGTGTAACTTACAAAAATTTGCATTGAGGCATGTTTTATAGGGATTTGGATCATAGCATTCCCAGAAAGGGCCTTAACTGCCCACATTCTCACCTTAATCCCCACTAAATCACCACCCACTGTCCACTTCTGACAAACTTTACATTCACAGTGACTGAACTGACCTAATTGCCTCTTCTGAATTTCTACGCATTTCATTTCTGTATATGAGCCCCTCAATCTTACTACAGTACTAGGTGGGAAAAGCTAGCCATGGGTATATGTTTAGGGTAAGGTAGCAAGAGAGCCAACTGTGCAAGTACAAAGAGACCTCATTCTTCATTTGTGTGGAGAGTCCCAGCTGAAGCACTGTTTCAGCTTAAGTGACAAAGTGTCTTGGTAATAAGCAAGTAAGGCACCTGTGCAAGTTCAGCAACATGTGGAAGAGGCAGGGTAGTTAACGCCCCCCCCTATTGATCTGCACAATCAAAAGTTTTTAAATAAACTAACGCAATAAATAAAAACAACAGGTATGCAGGTAGAAAGCCAGCAGGAAGGGGGGGGCTATGCAGTATGTTCTAAAGAATGTTGCATGTCTGCTGAACAGAAGTTGCTTAACCAATGGGTTTGTTTTCCTTGTCATTGCTCATCAATCTGTGATATACATTTTTTATTGTAAACACAGTAATCCTTACTATTGTGGCTCTTGCAGGGTGATTGCAACCATCCTATGCTTTCTCTGAGTGTCTGCCTAAGAGAAATAAACAAGCAAGCATACTTTGTCATTCCTTGCTGTGCCTGCTCCTGCATTCACTTAGGCAACCCATCAATTCATCAGCAGCCCAGGTTGCCTCAGTCATTATCTCCTGCTAAGCTAGTTCTTTTCCAGCTCTCAGAAGGCTGTGTGTTTCCAGGGGCTCAGCCTCTTCCTGATAACTCCCTTCTGCTGACAGGTGAGGCTTAATCAGGCTTCTTTCCCATGTAGTTACAGAGAAAAGAAGGTTATCAGGTCACCCTGCTGAGAACCCATGATGTAATTTCACCACAGTGGTTTCCAAACAAGTAGCTTAGCACATACTTCTGAAGCTTGGCATTATGTCTACTGTATATTTTGAATCAACAGTATGTAATAAACATGCTGCACTTGCATTACTGCTGTGTATTAGAATTTATTTTATTGCTGTTCATTTCTTTGGAATTAATGTGTCACTCCGGCAGCCCTGATGTTGTTGGCTCAGCCGTCAGATGTTCGGGTGCTTAGAACCGAAACACACGTGTACACATGGGCATTGTATTGTGCAAGAGAAGCTTAGGCTTAATGTGGAGCTCCTCTGGTCAAACGGGTTACCTTGCTGTATTATGCATGTGAGAGAACTGATCCCTATAACCTAAGTACTAGATACCTAGATTTAACAAGCAGGCAGGCATTCTGTCAGTAGCCTCCTGCCTAGAGTGGAATGTGTGCTGATGCGACTTAGAAATTCCTGTGCTTGGGTCTTGTACCAAGTGACATGGAGATGGTATTGGTGACTGGTGGTCCTTTTTATGTAGGTGGGAACAAGTAATCTTATCCAAAAACCGTTCAGATTTCTGGTCATAAATTGTAACTTGGCATCATTCCCTCTTCCCCCAGCTTCAGGTTTGTGGGTAGTATCCAAAGCTAGTCCTACTCAGACTTAGACTAATTGAAATCTTGCTTGTTAGTTGCAGGAGCTGCTGTTTCTTGTTCTTCTTCCCTTCTGTGCCTGAAGGTGGATCAGAATAGTTCACATGGCTATGTCCTGGCCTCAGGCCACAAGGCTTCTCCTGTAAATCCTGCCCCCACCTTTTATTTGAGTTTGCTTCTCTGGAATTAAAACAAAGTGCCTCTGGGTTATCTGTCTTTGGTGATAATCCAGTCATGTGAGTGGGTGAACAATGAGAAAATGAGTAAATTCCACCAATAACGACGGATGAGGTTAAGGAGGCTATTAAAAAAATGAAACCAGGGAAAGCTCCAGGTCCAGATGGTCTGTCACAAAAATATTATAAAGTCCTGGAGGAATATGTAACACCTGTCTTATGTGACGTATTTAATAATATCTTACAGGGAGGGAGGATACCGGACTCGTGGAGAGAGGCCCATATTACCCTAATACCAAAACCGGAGGCGGATAAACTTGACGTAAAAAACTATAGGCCGATATCACTACTCAATAACGATTATAAAATATTTGCTGAGATAATGGCAAAAAGACTGAAAAAATATTTGATAAAATCAATTCATAAAGACCAAGCCGGTTTTTTGCCAGGCAGACAGCTGAAGGACAACATAAGAAATATAATAAACATCATTGAATATTTAGAGTTTAAAAATGAAATTCCTGCAGCTTTGGTATTCGTCGACGCCGAAAAAGCTTTCGACAATGTATCCTGGTGTTTCCTTGTAAAGTGTATGGAAAGGGTAGGGATAGAGGGGCCCTTCTTGGAGGGTATCAAAGCAATTTATTCGAGCCAAAGAGCGAAATTAATTAATAATTAAGACTCATTATGATATCAAAAGGTACAAGACAGGGGTGCCCTCTGTCCCCCCTCCTGTTTATTATGGTACTGGAGATAATTGCAAATAAAATAAGGGAAACACCGGAAATAAGAGGAATTAAACTTGGAGTGAAGGAATATAAATTAAAGGCATACGCCGATGATCTAGTGATATCATTAGAAGAGCCACTAAAAAGCGTGGAAAAAGTCTTGGAAGTGCTTGAGGAGTTTGGGAAGTTATCTGGGTTTAAGTTAAATAAAAATAAGACAAAAATACTGACTAAGAATTTGGCGGAAGACTTAAGAAATCAATTAGAACAACAAACAGGAATTAAGGTAGTGAAAAAGGTGAAGTATTGGTTGGGTAACTACAAAAAATATAAATTTAGTGGAAAATAATTACAAAAAAACCTGGAGTGAGATTAAAAAAGATTTAGACATCTGGAGTAGATTAACACTCTCCTGGGAGGGACGAATGGCAGCCATAAAAATGAACATCCTTCCAAAAATATTATTTTTATTTCAGAATATTCCAGTAATCAGAGGAACAACAATGTTTAAGGAATGGCAGAGGACCCTGTCCAGGTTTATCTGGCAGGGGAAGAGAGCAAGAATTAAGTTTAAACTGCTCACAGACAGGAGAGAAAGAGGGGGGTTTGCCGTCCCAAATTTGCAATTATATTATGAGGCTGCATGCCTATGTTGGGTTAAGGACTGGATAGTTCTGGAAAACTTAGATGTGTTAGACCTGGAAGGATTTGATGCTAGATTTGGCTGGCATGCCTATTTATGGCAAGATAAAGAAAGGGTGCATAAGGGTTTCTCCCACCACATTGTTAGAGGAGCGTTGTTAGAGGTTTGGAATAGAACTAAAAGACTGTTGGAAAAGGGCATACCTTGGTGGCTATCTCCAGTTAATATCTCATCCCTTAAAAATTTAAACACGAGAAGCCAAAGATGGACCTACGAAGATCTCCTGACCAAATCGGATAAGGGGTGGAGAATTAAATCATTTGAAGAACTAAAAGATAAATCAATAGGGTGGTTACAGGTTCACCAAATTAACGCCCTATGGAATGAACACAAAAAAATAGGGATGAATGAGAAAAAATCAAAATTCCAAGTGGAAATATTAGAAGGAAAGAGTAAGCTTCTATCCAAAATGTACAATCAATTACTGGAATGGGATACAAAAGACGAGGAGGTGAAGGAGGTCATGATAAAGTGGGCCATAGATTTGGGATATAGTTTAGAATATGAGAGATGGGTGAAACTTTGGACTAAGGACATGAAATTTACAGCATGTGTTAGCCTCCGTGAAAATATGGAAAAAATGATGTATCGTTGGCATATTACTCCTGTTAAGCTTGGAAAAATGTACAAGACTGGAGACAAAAGATGTTGGAAATGTAAAAAAAAAGAGGGCGACTTCCATCATATGTGGTGGTCGTGTGAAGAAGTGAAGAGGTTCTGGGGTTCTATCTATGATGAATTGAAAAAGATACTGAAATACACATTTCCTAAAAAACCAGAAGCATTTCTTCTGGGAATGGTCGGTGAGGAGATTAGAAAAGAAGACCAAACCATGTTCCAGTATGCAACGACAGCAGCAAGACTGCTGTTGGCACAGAACTGGAAATCATCTAAAATACCAACTATAAGTGAATGGCAAAACAAGCTATTTGAGTACTCTGAGCTAGCAAAAATGACACAGAAGATCAGGCATCAGAGTAATAAAATCTTTATTAATGATTGGAACAAATTTATATCATACATGGAGAAAAACTTAGGTAATATTAAAATAACAGTAGGTGAATTATAGAATCTGCGAAGTAAAGATAAAGGTAGAAAGAAGGAACTGCAAGAAGGGTATCAATGGGATATAGCTTAAATCGCGGTGGAGGGAAGTCAGAATGATGTTATGTTATGATGTTATGATAATTAATACTTTCGGAGAAATGTATTTACGTCTTGATATTTTATTGTCTACATCTGTTTATTTTGCGATGTCTTTTTTTTTTTCTATTGTGATTTTAAAAGAGTGAATATTGGAAATAAAAGTTATAATAATAATTAAAAAAAAAGAGAAAATGAGTAAATTCCTGGCTTGTTTAACTTACTGTTGTGTTTAGACACCTCTTTGGGTTTGTGATAATTTAAAAACTGAACAAATGTTTATCAGTTTGGTTCTATAATAATATACTGTGCCTCTCTGTCTTCCTTTACAGGGCTTACTCCCTTGTGGATTCCAGTCAAGTATCTACGTTCCTAATTTCTATTCTCCTCATAGTTTATGGTAGCTTCAGGTACGATTATTTTCTTTGGTATATATAACAACCCCGCCCCCAAAAGAAAAGTCATGAATTGCTGGCCGTATGTTGATGCATTGTTCCTTAAAGGTAATCTTGTAGAACCATAATACTGTATTTTTTGCTCTATAAGACTCACTTTTTTCCTCCTAAAAACTAAGGGGAAATGTGTGTGCGTCATATGGAGCGAATGCAGGCTGCGCAGCTATCCCAGAAGCCAGAAGAGCAAGAGGGATTGCTGCTTTCACTGCGCAGCGATCCTTCTTGCTGTTCTGGCTTCTGAGATTCAGAATATTTTTTTTCTTGTTTTACTCCTCCAAAAACTAGGTGCGTCTTGTGGTCTGGTGCTTCTTATAGAGCGAAAAATACAGTATATTAGGTATATTCTATGTACCGTATTTTTCGCCCTATAGGGCGCACCGGCTCATAGGATGCACTTTTTGGGGGGGGGAATAAAGGGGAAAAAATTATTTCCCCCCCCCCAGCCCAAAAGAGCAAAGAAGCCATGACAGCCAGCGGGATGGATCCCGCTCGCTGTCCTGACTTCATTTTTAGCCTCAGGACTGGGGGCCCGGGAGCGAAGGCGAGGTTGCGCAACCTCGCCATTGTTCCCGGAGCTTGCGGGGCTGGGGGCAGGGGAAGCCCGAGCTTCCCCCGACCCCAGCCCCCAGAACGGGTCCGAGAGCGATGGTGGAGTTGCGCGCAGCTTCGCCATCGCTCTTGGAGCTTGCGGGGCTGGGGGCGGGGGAAGCCCGAGCTTCCCCCGACCCCAGCCCCCAGAACAGGTCCGAGAGCGATGGCGAAGCTGCACGCAGTGTGGTGTAGTGGTTAAGAGCGGTAGTCTCATAATCTGGGAAACCGGGTTCGCGTCTCCGCTCCTCCACATGCAGCTGCTGGGTGACCTTGGGCCAGTCACACTTCTTTGAAGTCTCTCAGCCCCACTCACCTCACAGAGTGTTTGTTGTGGGGGAGGAAGGGAAAGGAGAATGTTAGCTGCTTTGAGACTCCTTAAAGGGAGTGAAAGGCGGGATATCAAATCCAAACTCTCTTCTTCTTCTGCTTCTAAGCTTGTTCTTACGTTTGCTGCTTTTAAGGTTTTGTTGCAGCTGTTTATACATTGCCTTTGTAATTTTTTCTGCTTACTGTTTCATGTTTGTAAGCTGTTCTGAATGTTCTGCAGAAAAGTAGGGGGGTATCACTTTTGGGCAGCTTCTTAGTAACACTCATTAAATTTTGCGTTAAATTATATCAAAGCTATGTATTAAATTTCAGTAGCCACTGCAAATATAAAGTAGAAGGTTTACATGTATTCTTTTGTCTGTAGGTCCCTTAACATGGACTTTGAGAATCAAGACAAAGAAAAGGACAGCAGCAGCTCATCTGGGCCCTTCAATGGCAACAGCACAAATAACAGTAAGAACTTCTTGCTCCATAAGCTGAGGATGCAGAACTTGGACCGACCTTGGTCTTGCAGGCTTGTGATTGAGGCCATCCTATCCACTGTTGGAACAGGGCTACCCCTCCTGGGTGTGAACCACATAACATGGCTGTCCTGTACAAGCCCTGCCAAATTGAAGGGTGGATAATTGATTACAAAGTCTTGTAATAATTCATTTTGCTTTGCATTGTTGACTTGAAGTTCAACATTGCACTGTGTATGTGCTGTAGATGAGTGGTTCTGTCATTGGTGCCTGTAGTATAAAGTTTTGTTTGAGACAGGTAATTTGTCTTTCTTTACCTGCTGTTCTACTCCATTAATCAGTCATCTGATGAGTCACAGATTTCCCCCCTTCACAAGCACACACATTTTTCCCACTTCAGTACAGTATACAATATTATATCTAGTTTTCCATGCAAGATACACTGTGTCCTTTTTCTGCTTCTCCAATTTCCATTGCCTTTTCTTTAGAGTAGAGACCAATAGTGCAATCCTATGCAACTTTACTCTGAAGCAAGACTCACTGTGGAGCTTATGCCCAATTTAAACATGTCTGGGAGGTACATGTAAGCACATCTGACGCAGGCAAGACCCAATCTGTGTATTTGATGAAGACTGACAGTATGCTTTGAGGGTGGGTGGGGTGGTCAGCTCCTTGCCCTCCCGGTTATCTCAGTTTGCTACTTGGTGTTACCGAGAAAGAGAAGGTGAGCAAGTGTGTAGAGGGTGGATTCTGTGCACATCCGCACGCTCCCCCCCCATCTCTCTTTGGGTGGCATGGTGGAGAGTATTATTGGGATCGCAGAAGGAAGGGGGCAGAATTTTTTCCTTTCCTCTCCTGCCACAATCCTGACAAAAATTTCTCCTTTGCAGCTGCAGTTTGCATTGAGAGGAGAGCTCCCCTTGGCACCCTGAGGCAATTTTCTCCCAGTGCAAATAGCAGCTTTGGGACTGCAGCAAGAAAGGAAATGGTTTAACTCCACTGCCTGTTGCAATCTCTGATTCTTATCAGCTCCCCTCCTCACAAAGCACGGGCACACCAACTGCAAAAGTATATATAACATCATGCCTAGTTAGGCCTAAGCTTTGGTTGTAAAGGGGGAGGGGTGAACATCAGGTAGGAATGCACCTGAACGCTAAATGTGTGCCATGTGATGCCAAATAACAAATGTTTCCTTTCCTTTAAAAACTAATAAAATAAAATTCCTGCAGGTATCCAGACCATTGATTCAACACAGGCGTTGTTCCTTCCCATTGGGGCATCTGTGTCTCTCTTAGTCATGTTCTTCTTCTTCGACTCGGTTCAAGTTGTCTTTACAATATGTACAGCAGGTAACTGCCTTCTCTTCACTTTCCCCCATCTTACATAGGGACTCATTGTTGCTGGAAATTGACAGAGTTTTGAGGATGTCATATGAAGAAACTGCTTGTAGAAATGCTGGTGGTTTCCTTCTATTTGTGTATATAACAGCTAGAAACTACCTGTCAGTGTATATAAAATCAAGCACCTAGAGGCTGCAGTGTTTTGTCCATTACTTGCTTTAATATTTTGTTCTCTGTTACAACTTTCTCCACTTTAGCTGAGCAGCAGATTTTTAAAAACAATTCTGGTTAAATGTACTTGCAAAATCACAGGCATCTTGAATCCTCTTAGAGGCACTTCCTCCTTTTTCTCACAGGGGCATAAATCTCCCAAGATGGTGCCTTTTGGGGCATCTTATAAACAGAGTATGGGGGGGGGGAGGTTCTCCAGAACTATTGTGTTTGTTCATAATGCAGGTTTCATTGGTCAGCTTCCTGCCCTACAATGGCTTTTGTGATGAGGAGTGGCTAAAAATATTTTAAATAAATAAACTGGCAGTCCCATGCACATTTGCATAGAAATTCCATTAAGATTGGTTGAACTTCCTTCACAGGAAATACAAATAGAAATGGGCATATTGATAAGAGAAGATTGACTAACATCTTTAACAACAATTCATTCTAAGAAATGATTGAATTCTCTACCACAGGATTTAGTAAAGACCACCAACTTGAATGGTTTTAAAAATGGATTAAACAAATTCTTGGAGGATTTACAGTGGTACCTTGGGTTAGGTACTTAATTCGTTCTGGAGGTCCGTTCTTAACCTGAAACTGTTCTTAACCTGAAGCACAACTTTATCTAATGGGGCCTCCTGCAGCTGCTGTGCTGCTGGAGCATGATTTCTGTTCTCATCCTGAAGCAAAGTTCTTAACCCGAGGTACTATTTCTGGGTTAGCAGAGTCTGTAACCTGAAGTGTATGTAACCTGAAGCGTATGTAACCTGAGGTACCACTGTATTTAATAAACTCAAGTTGCTGATTCAAATGTCAGTGTCTATAATAGACTTTAACTTATATTTCTCTTGATGTGATCTGTCAAGCTATCAGATTTGGTAGGTAGTTTACCTGGAGAGGAGCCTTCTCAGTGGTGGTGCCCTCCCAGTAGAATCCTCTCCCTAGGGAGGCTCACCCCAGTACCTCCTCTATTAGAGGATTTTAAGCAGAAACTGGATGTTAATTTAGGGGCTTGTAGGAGTGGGGTTTGTTTTTTTTTGCACTTTGGCAAATGGTTGGACTAGAGCAGGCACGTCCAACAGGTAGAAAAGGTAGACCGTGATCTACCAGTAGATCACTGGACTTCTGCGGTAGATCACTGTCCCCCCAAAGAAGCTCAAAAAATCCCTTAAAAAAGCTCAACAACTTTGACCTGAACCCCCCCAAAAGTGGGTAGATCACTGCTAGTTTTTAACTCTGTGAGTAAATCGCAGTCTCTTGGGAGTTGGCCACCCCTGGACTAGAGGATGTTGAAGCCACTTTCAGCTTAATGATTCCAACTCATTTTTGCACCAGACAAAGCGAGTTTTATTTTCCCATGCTTTTTATCTTGCCTCTTTTATCTCTGCTGATTGCTTATACACTCTTTTGTATTTGTTTTATTTCTGCTATCGTGTTAATGTTTTTGCCTTTACATTTGCCGCCTCCTCTGTATTTTGAATTATTTGCAAGTCACCCTGTGAACCTGTTGAGAGGTGTGGTATAAATTCATGAGAAGGTTACCGCATTTTTCGCTCTATAAGACGCACCAGACCATAAGACGCACCTAGTTCTTGGAGGAGGAAAACAGGAAAAAAAAATATTCTGAATCTCAGAAGGCAGAACAACAAGAGGGATTGCTGCGCAGCGAAAGCAGCGATCCCTCTTGCTGTTCTGGCTTCTGGGATAGCTGCACAGCCTGCATTCGCTCCATAAGACGCACACACATTTCCCCTTACTTTTTAGGAGGGAAAAAGTGAGTCTTATAGAGCAAAAAATACGGTAATTAAAAAGAGAACTGCAGAATTCTCCAAAGCCAATGGGCACATTCTTCTGAGAAGTTCTCCTGTAGAATACCAATTTAAATAAATACCATGCAAGGGCCCAGAGCCCTGTTTTTTTCAGTGGGATTTGCATGGGAGGACTTTCTGCAGGGTTGTGCTCAATATGTGGTGATGCATTTAGACGTTTGCAACAGTTAAATATCACCCATGGAAATTAGTCTCTGCGTGCCACATCTTTGGCCCACTGACAAAAATGTGGCATTTCAGAAGAGTTTCCTAGCCAGACTTAAATGTTTTGGGTCAGTCTTTTGACCAAAGCATTCTGTGTGGGCTCTCCCCACCTTAGGAACATACTAGTTTCATGATTATAATTTACTGATAAATTGCTTGGACTTCAGATGTTTTCCAGCAAAATGCAAAAAGCCCTTCACAGACGTTTTAATTAAAGTTCAACTTGTGTTTTGGCCACAGATTATTTTTTTCTTCACATCCTTAGCCACAGATGTTGCCATGTGTTAGTTTTCTGTGCTTGTCTTGGAGTTTTTGCAACATTGGTCTGTATTAACATTGCCTTTTCTTTCTCTCTCTCTCCCTCCCCATTTCTCCAGTTCTCGCAACAATAGCCTTTGCTTTCCTTCTGCTCCCAATGTGCCAGTATTTAACACGACCTTGTTCACCTCAAAACAAGTAAGGAAGGTTGTTATTTTTTTGTTCTGTGCAGTGCAAAGAACCTGTTGTTGATTCAACAAGATGGGCCTCTCTGTTGTTGGTAGAGCTTTTGGCTCTGAGAAGAAGTTCAAATACAGTCCTGCCCCTGCTTTCCACGCCTGTGTTTATAATGCACAAAGAGGGTATTGCAGAGTTCTTCTGCGGTGAGCTCTAAACAGGGCCGACCCACATTTGATACCTCCCCACTTCTCCTGGGAAGTTCTCCTGCACCAATAGCACTGGAACGAAGAGGAGCTTGCACAGCTTTCCTTCATCTCAAGGCTTTCATATTCAGAAGAGCATCCAAGCAGACTGCCTTGGGAGTCACAGCTGCCTAATTCCCACTTGCCTGCTCACGGTGGCTTGAGACAGCTGCTTCCCCCAGGTCTTGAGGACAAAGTGCTGTTCCCACCCCTGCAAGGCTCCTGCTTTTGATCTTACAGCAGAAGGGGTGGGGGCAAAAGTGTCACACACACTACTTCTCTTTTTTCGGCCGCTTCTCGGGAATCACCACTTCACCGTGCCAAAACTGATGTATATGGTTATAGGCAGAAATAATGACCTGTTTGGATTGACGCCAGTAGGGTTGGTTCATAGTGGTGGTACTTTTCTAGCTGGGGGACAGAAACACAGTTGAAATTCATTTTTTTGCAGGGGAGGGAAGAATTCTGGTCACAAGCACTGGCTCTAGAGATCATAGGGAACGTTTAAAAAAAAGTCCAGCTTTTATGACAGCTTTGGAATAATGTCTTCTGAAATAAATTGCTCTCTTCCTGGATGGAAAGCTGTATCTTAAAACTACGCCGCCCCCACCCCCAAATTGGCATGAAGGGGTAGAACACTTCTGACACCCTCTCAGCAGAAAGCCCAATAATAGAGTAGCCAAAATAACCCTTTCGTCTAATTTTAGGATCTTGGCAAATGAGTCAGGTTTGTGGGGGAGATCCTTGAGTTCATGCCTTCAGCACCTTTGCTTTGACAAGAGCTTTGTCACTAGGGCATTTCTGGTGTTCTTGAACCCAGTCCAAATAAGAGCCGCAAGAGACCCCCCCCCAACCTCCTCCTCGCTACATACCAGAGAAGAGCCTTCATTGTTTTTGTGTTTCTGGTGGTGTTTTCCAGGATTTCTTTTGGCTGCTGTGGGCGTTTTACAGCTGCTGAGCTGCTCTCTTTCTCCCTCTCTGTGATGCTTGTCCTTATCTGGGTCCTAACTGGTCACTGGCTCCTCATGGACGGTAAGTGCTGCTGAATATGTGGATCTGGTTACTTGCTTATAACAGTGACAGGTTGAAAAATGGTTAGTGGAAAACTTTTCTTGCATTCTTTACTCAAAATGAACTCTGTACTTGCCATGGAAGTGCGTGTGCATGTGTGCATTGTGTAAGGCAGTTTTTTTTCCAAATAGTGGGGCAAAAGAAATTAATAAACTGAAGGTCCCTATGAACACAAAGTCCCCGTCCAGAGAGTATGCTGTTGCTGTGCCTCTGCCTGATTCACTGCTTTTTCTTTTGACTGCATGGGAAGTGACGAATCCTAAAATCTTGGAAGGCACCCAAGGGTCATCTAATCCAACCTCCTTCAGTGCAGGAATCTCTGCTGAAACATCCATATAGAATAAGAGAATCTTAGAGTAATCATAGAATCTTGATCATTCAATTGCTCCTGATTCAGGCAGGCAGCAGAATGGTCCACCCTCAGAGGAGACTGCCTGTTGTATGTCAGCAGCAGAAACTGTTCAGGGTTTGGAAAGAAGCAGGCAGAAACACGGAGATCTGTACTATGACATAATTTTAGTGACTTTAATATAAAGCAAATATATAAGGAGGAATGAAGTTCTTCTACTTTTAATTTAGAAAAAAGGGGGTGTCCAAGCTATCAGAAGCTTGGGAAATGCTCAGAAAAGGCTCACACAATTACTGTGAGCCAAAGAAAAGCGCTCTTTTCTGTCCGAAGTGGGGTGTGGGTTTAGAATTAGTCAATCTAACACTTGTCATTATGTAATAGACTGCAGAGAAGGAGAAGTGCAGAACTTCCAGGTTCTTAGATGTGGCAACAGCCTCACTGGTGCACTCATGGAGGAGTAGACAGTTGTGCAGACTAGTGACTGATTTTCAGAGACAGAACACATCCACACACGTAATGAGTCATGGCTCAAATACAACAACAAGCTTAGCAAAGTGAAACATTTTTGAAGTGCTGGTGTCTCCAGTACTGTACATGTAGCACCTGATGCAGAAAGGGTGCAGCCTCCATCACTTGTCACACAGGCCTCAGCCGCTTTTCCAAGGGGCGGAAAAGCAAACAGACAAGAAAGTTCTCTCTCTGCAGAAACTTTAGTTCAAGTCTATGCTAATGTTAGCTCAAGCCTGTCTGTTGTGGGGGAGGATTTCAGTTTTACAAGTAGCTTGGGGAGAGTGTTCTTCTTATTGTCACACATGTTTCTCTTCAGGCAGCCCTTCTCATGGTTGTGATCAAACCATTAACATTACCATTTGGTTGATTGCCTTTCCCACATGTGGATAATTATTCCAGATGTGTCTTACCTTTCCCAACCTGTATAAAGAATTGGCAAAGGCACTTTTGCATTGCTGTCTCTTGTCTTGAACAGTGTATCTCATGTCAAAATTACCAAAATATTATTGCCTATATGGAGCTTGTCAGTAACTTTTGGCTAATGAATCGTGGAGTGCTGTGTACATTCTGTGCTGCTGCAGGTTTACTGAATGCTTTTCGTCCTCTACTCTCTTTGCTTTTAATCGTTCTTAATCTCTAACGTGTTACATTGTGTTAATATTACTGACATACCGTATTTTTCGCCCTATAGGACGCACCTAGATTTGGGGGGGGGAATAAAGGGGGGAAAATTATTTTTCCCCCCCAGGTGCGGGGCTGGGGTGGGGGAAGCCCGAGCTTCCCCCGACCCCAGCCCCCAGAACAGGCAGCTCTCCGCAAGCCGTGGGAGCCCGGCGCGAAGTTGTGCTGGGCTCCCACAGCTTGCGGAGAGCTACACGAAGCCCGCTCTGGGAGCTTGCAGGGCTGGGGGCGGGGGAAGCCCGCCGCCAGCCTCCAAACCAGGTCGGGGGACAGCGGGATGGCGGCGTTCCGCCTCCCCGCTGTCCCCTGAGCTTGTGGGGCTGGGGTGGGGCTCTCCAGGCTTCAGCGAAAGCCTGCATTCGCCCCATAGGACGCACACACATTTCCCCTTCCTTTTTGGAGGGGAAAAAGTGCATCCTATAGGGCGAAAAATACGGTAGTTGGCTTACACAGATACTGAAAGAGCAAGTTTCTAGGCCTTAAGATTCAGAGAGATAAACCGTTCCCTTGCATTCCCCCATTTTGTTCCCTGCCCAAAGCAATTTAGGATTTTTGAGAGGTTGATCTAGAGAAGCATGTTAAACTATGAAAGCAGATTAATTGCTTGGATATACAAGTTTACACAACATATTCAGAGGACGAAACAGGATGTCTGCCTTGCAGAAATTTGATATTTTTTTTGCCAAATACACATAGCCCTATATGTCCGTAGTCTACACTGGCAACTTTCCTCCATTTTCAAGCTGCCACTTCATTTCCAAGAAGTATCCCTACTCTGGTGTGTCTGGGTACAGTAGATGTTTTGTCTGTAGTCTTAGGCTTATTTACCAGCAACTGTCACCTTGCATAGTGATCCAACTGTTTTGTTGCATTTCTGTTTTGTAGCTCTGGCCATGGGCCTGTGCGTTGCAATGATCGCCTTTGTCCGATTGCCCAGCCTCAAGGTTTCCTGTCTGCTGCTCTCGGGGCTATTAATTTATGATGTCTTCTGGGTGAGTTTCTTTTAGTTTCTTACGTATCCCTATAACCAGACAAAGAGTTCTTCTGACCTTGGAGGCAGGCTTGCAGGACCCATCACCTTGGACATCTTGAAATACTGTCACTGGGCACCAGGCGCACCCCATTTTGTTGCTGCATCTTTCAGTCATAACTTTCTAAAAGACTTTCCCCTTCACTTACATTGTATTTTTTCCATATCACTCCCTGGGACCTTCCCCAACTCAATTTGATCTTTTTCATAAACTTCTTTGAGGTTTGTTTGTTTACAATCTAGCAGCCTATAAGTTTAATTAATTAACGAATTCACTTCAACTTTGTGTAGGAAATAGGTGATGAAGATCCCCCCACTGTTCAGAAGGGACTGATTACACACCTTGGCACATCTTAGAGGGTACCACTTTGGTCTCACCCAGCAGCCACCCCCAGGCAGTCAGAGAAATTTGCCTCTTTAGAAAATATATATGTGGCTTTTCAATTAAAAAATGCAACAAGGCAGCCATATATCTCCACTGTTTGATTTTCACGTTTCATTGCATCTTGAAGGCCACATTGGTCAGATGGTATCAACACCTCTTTTTTTCCCTGAACACTCTTGTTGTTGGAGCTTCTGGGGGAACTGGTGTGAAAAGTTCTCACCCTGTCCTCTTGTTGATTACTTCTTTGTGAGGCTTGCAGTCGTCCTGGCAATGTGTTATTGACCACCAGGTCTAGATGGTACAATATACACTAAAGGAAAATCTTTTGAAGATGTTTTACAGGTGGTATATAACTCCCAGCAAAATATCCAAAATGTATAAAACAAGATCTCATACGTGCTGGAGGTGTAAATGGGCAGAAGGGACACTGTTTCATCTGTGGTGGGGTTGCAAAAAAATTAAGAATTTTTTGGATATTATATATGAGGAATTAAAAAAAAATGTTTAAGCAAACTTTCATAAAGATACCAGAAGCCTTACTCTTAGGCATTTTAGATTCAGATATTCCAAATGAAAAAAGATAATATTCTTATATGCTACAACAGCAGCAGCAAGAATATTATTTGCCAGAAATTGGAAAGGAGAATTAGTACCAACAAAAGAGGAATGGCAGGAGAAATTATTTGAATATCTTTAACTGGCAAAAATGGCGGAGACAATTAGGAGACAGCCAAACCAAAAGTTCGAAAAGGAGTGGGAAATTTATAAAGAATATTTAAAAAAACAGTGCCCTCAAGTTAAAACCTGAACATGCTTTGATTAATTTTCGCAAACCACAATATGGATTATAAGTATAGTATTCAGATAACAAGAAGTGGCAAAATGATTAAAGAAGCAGTTTAGTAAACAGATAAGACAGACCTGCTTTGAGGAAGACAGAAGTCTATTGGGGAAGATAAGGAATTGGGAATTAAGAACATGGTGGCATAAGTTCTTTTGTAAGAACGTATGGATTTATGGATGTATGGATGTTTTTTGTTATTTATCATTTTTGTTAATTTCTTGTGTGTGTTTATTAAGCAAGAAAACTAATAAAAAGCATATTAAAAATAAATAAATGGTGCAATTGGTTGGTGCCCCCAAAGGGCAGGGGTTGTTTCTCACATGTGTGGGTGGTATCAACAGGTCCCTGTTGAGCCAGCAAACCTGAGTGTCCTTGTGGGTGTGCCAACTGCTGCCATCTTGCATCTCCTATAGATGCAGGTGGGCTTCTGTCTCTTTAAGGAACATAATGCTTTCAGCCCCTCTTGAGACTAATCAAAAGGGTTAGTGCCATGTCACTGGGAACTGGCAAATCTGCAAATCCTATATCGTTTCATCTACTTGCTTCACTTACTGGTCTCCTGGCTCACAGGTTCTCTTGATCCTAGGCTGGATAATGAGAGAGATGCATAGCTTTTGAGGTGATCAAAAATAGCTTTTGTATTCCCCCTGCCTCCCCAGGTCTTCTTTTCCGCCTACATCTTCAATAGCAATGTTATGGTGAAAGTGGCCACACAACCAGCTGATAATCCGCTTGATGTTTTATCACGGAAGCTCCACCTTGGACCAAATGTAGGTCGAGATGTCCCCCGCTTGTCGCTGCCTGGCAAACTTGTATTTCCAAGGTAGGAGTCACCTTTTTGCCTCACATCCTTTCCTGAGGCTTCTTTACATTTTGCTCTTGGGAAATTGTTTTGTGGTAGATATTCTGTTTGAAGAAGAACCCAAGAACCTTTGGGGCCACAGTTAGGAAAGCGGTTTCCTTTTTGCTTGCACCCTAACCCGAGGGTCTGTGTGCTGATGGTTGATCAGAGAAGAAAGGTTTGTGGGGTGGGGAGGGGAGCTGGCTCCCGAGTTAACCTAGCTCCTTGTTTTCCAGTTCCACAGGCAGCCACTTCTCCATGCTGGGAATTGGAGACATTGTGATGCCTGGCCTCCTCCTCTGCTTTGTCCTGCGTTATGATAACTACAAGAAGCAAGCCAACAGCGATTCCTGTGGTGCTCCAGGACCAGGGAACATCTCTGGCCGCATGCAGAAAGTCTCCTATTTTCACTGCACACTCATTGGATACTTCGTAGGTAAGGGGGAGGGACTTGTGCAGAAGTTGATGTGTGTGCAGTCTGGATGGATCTCTCCCCCCCCCCCACTTTAAAGTTTGATGTATCTTGCAATTGTGTGCAAGATGCTTTTAACTGTAATGTTTTTCCTAAAGGTTAGAAGGTGCTCACGCAGACACCTTGGTTTGGAGCACATTGGTTTTATTTGCCAGAAGCGAGTAGACAAAGTTGCTGTTTGTAAACCTGAACTGAAGAGTGATAGAAGAGAAAATTTTAAAAGTGTGCTAAAGGATAAGATTCTGGGATTGAGGGAAAGAGCAACGGTTGTACTTTGGGGTGTGCTAAAGTTGTCTTTCCGAAGAGTGAATGGAGTTCAGTCACTTGGCATTAGGCTGATATTGGAAAAACAAGAGGACAGAAGTCTTCCATTGGCAGTGACTGTTAAAGAATTGGAATGGTTAAATTGCAAGGCTTAAAATTTCATTGGGAACTATTTTGTAAACACGTGAGCTCCATTTATAGACTTCTGGAACAGGAATTAAAGCAAACTTGTTTTTATTTTGAGAAGTTGTCTTTGTTACATGCAGGATTTTGCTGTTTTTTAAAAAAACTTTCCAACAAAGTGTATCTTAAAATCTAGATTCTGAAGGCAAAATACTGAGAATAGCCATGCATGTTTGATGTGTTGACTGCTTGCAAAGTATGTGTACAAAACATGTGTGTTTAGGGGATTTGCAAAGAGGAAATTGGTTTTGGAGTGCAGAGGGCAATTAAAGGAAGGAGCAAAAGAGCTCAGGGGCAAACTTGCCTTCTGTCTCTTTGCAAGGCTGCCACAGAGATCATTTCTGTGCTTTGAAGTTTTTCCTCACTACCATGAGTTTAGAAGCCATTTGCTCTGGAAAGTTAAAGTAGAGGCTTATTATTAAAAAGCTGTTAACAGAACTTTAGTTCAGGAAGCCGTTCACTTGACCTTGGTGCAGTTTGCATTGTGGAATCATCCTGCCATGATACACAGTGTCTCTCTCTCAAGAGAAAACAAGACAGCAAATACATCATCTAAGAGAGAAAGGTGCCTACCTGGGTGTTCTCATGTCATCTTGTCTTTTCTTATATTGCAGGCCTCTTAACCGCGACGGTCGCTTCTCGCATCCACCGGGCAGCTCAGCCCGCCCTCCTCTACTTGGTACCCTTCACCTTATTGCCACTCCTCACTATGGCCTATTTAAAGGTGAGAGGAGTGTTGGGAGTCACGTCTGTAGGAATCTCCTTGGGCACATCAGTGATGTACTGTCTAACCTCCTCCCCAGCATCCGCTATGCTATTGCAAGGCCCATCCTTTTGAATTGTTGTGCACAGCCACTGAAAGCAGCAAAAAAGAAGAAGAAAATTTTGTTAGGTTATATGCATCCTACAACATACTACCACTATATACAGTATATACTATACAGTATAGACTATATACCTCCCCACTTACACGTGCTTGACTTGGGCGCAACTGCATGTAGGGCAACTCCACGAAATAAATAAATATAAATCAGTTCAAACCTGGAAATGGTGGGAGAGAGCTGGAAAGTCCTTGTGACTCGCAAGGAGACCTTCCCCAGAGCCTGAAGAGGTTTTAAAGGCAGGAAAAAACTTGTGGGCTCCAAAATAGTGCATGGGAGCCCTCGCTGCTGCCAGGCTATCCCGCTCAACAGCTGTTGGGCGGGAAGCTGTAATGCGGCGGGCTCAGTCTGTCCGTTCTGGCGATCTGGAGGCAAAGATACAGTATAGGTTGCTTTTTGTTATGTAGGGTTCCAAAGAGCTCTGAACTTTTCTGTTGTAAAAGAAAAAGAAATCGCCCTAGTTCCCTGCCCTGACAAGGTTCCCCACTTACCTTTCACTTATGCGCACGGGGGTCTGGAACATAATCTCTGTGTAGGTGGGGAGCTGCCTGTACAACAACAACTACTACTACTCCAACTCTAAACAAATACAATAAAATAAATACCTGAAAGTCAGCATAAAAGCCCACTTAGCAGGTATTAAAGTTCACAGTTGTCTGGTAATGAAATGATGTCAAGATGGGTGCTAGGGGAGCATTCCCTGAGTTGGGTGATGCCACTACCTGTCGCTGCCTGTCCTACCTCCAGCTGGTGCATCCAAAGAGGTCTCTGCTGTATCAACCTGAGCTGCCGGAGGGCACTTGATGCCATGGAAGCACTGCAGGCCTGGCCCTTCCTTGTGGGCTGGGGCTGATGGGAGTTGTAGCCCCAAACATCCGGAGGGCGCCATGTTGGATCCCCCTGGCGTAAATGTTACAGAGCAAAATAGTCATCGTCCAGCTTCACTTTCTGAATTCTGCCATCTTTGAGCCCCTTGCCCCAAAAGGGAGCTTTAGCAGCCTGTTATAATCTGGGTGCAGGAGCAGCCCCTTTGAACTCTGTGAGTCTGTGCACTCTCAGTTGCTCACTCTTCTGTCTCTTTCCTTAGGGAGATCTGCGTCGCATGTGGTCTGAACCATTCCACTCCAAGACCAGCAGCTCACGTTTCCTGGAGGTATGATGGAACGGATGGAAAGTGACCGGAACTTCTGCCTGGTCCTTTTTTTGTGGCTCACAGCTTGGTTGTCCGTCCCTGTGGCTGGGCTGGTACTCAGGAGAGAATTACCAGTTTGTGGAACTTGTACAAATGGACTTGCTTTCTGGGAAAAGGAGGAAAGAGCAAAGGCGTTTTGGTGGTGGTGGTCGAGGGAGTGGGGGCTTTCCCCCTCCCTTCTTGGAACTGGAGACAGTTTGCCATGGCAGCCGCCTCCCTCTTCTTCCTTCCCCTCCTCCTCCTCCTTACGGATTAGTGCTAGGCCATCCGGTGTTCCTCAGGGGAGAAGGAGGAGGAGGCAGACTGACAGACACTTTCTGGTGAAAACGGCATAGAGTCATTGAGGAACTTGTGAACACTAAGAGGAGACAAATGGTCACTGCGCTTGGAGTTTCTTGGGAAACCCTACAAGTACTTTGGGACCAGTTTTCTGTTGGACTCCGGTTTCAGAGAGAACTGAGACAGAGGTTTTTCTGTCGCTATAATCTTTTTTTCCCCCCATTCAAATTTATTAAATATGTTCTGTGGTGTGAGGTGACTTATTAAATCCACAGACATTTGAGTGACTTCTTGCAGTACACGATATAAAGACTTTGTTGTAAACAAGTTACATTTCCACCCAGATGTCATGTTGCAGTGAACAAGGGCACGACTTTTATACACACACAAATGCATACACAGAAACACACACACACATGCAATGGGAAAACCTGCTAGGATCATGCTTTGTAGCTGACAGGGGCTTGCTGTAATTTTTAGCATGTAGAGCAGTTTACTCTGGGCTTTCTTGTATATGGATCTGCAAATATGCTGCTGTCTTTCCCATTTCCCTCCATGAGTGAAGCTTCAGTTAAAAAACAACAACAACCAGTGTAGTATTTTGTACTTAGTGTGCTCCTGGATTTTAGGGGATTCTTTGATTTTTCAATCAATGTAGCAGACTTAGGGGAGGGAGAAAGCTGAAGCCCTTGACCCCCCCCCCCGGCCGAACCCCTATTTTTGTTTGTGGGTTTGTTTTTTACAACTTAATCCATTACAGGTTTTTAGTAGCTCCCCTCTTGACCCTGTGCATGTATTATAGCAGCTGTTGTCTCTGTGCGTTCTGATCATAGTAATGTATGACTTGTAAATACATTTTTTCTATTTTCTATTTTTTGTATTATTTTTTTTTGCATTGTTTGATTAGTGTGCTGTATTTCCCCCCATTCCCTTACGTTTAAAAAAAAAAAAGGGAGAGAGAAAGAGAAAGAGAGAATCCTGTCCTCTGCTGTTGTGATTGGTCAAAGTTTGTGATGACTGCTTTGTACCTGGGAGTCTCTTAAAACGTGGACTTTTCTAAACAAATTGTCCTGGCTATGTTATTTTTAACTGTTTCAAAGGTTCCTAAGATGAACTTAATCTTTCCTGTCAAAAATGAAAGTTTCCTTTCTGCCCCCTGGTTTAAAAGACCTGCCCCTGTAATGGGGTGCGTGTTAGCTTAGCCCAGATTCTGGGAATTCCTGGCATTAGGTGGTGGTTTTAAGACCCTTCTTGTCCTAGACCAGATTAGGGAATCATTTTACTGAATATTTTCTCCCCTTCCCCCCCTTTTCTTGCTGCTTCCTCAATTCTTTCTGGGGAGGGCTGTGTCTTCATGTCCTGTGAGAGCTTTCCAGGAGCATCTGACTTGACTACCTTGGGAAACAGGATACTGGGTGCACTTCTGGCCTGATCCAGCAGGGCTGGTCTTATGCTTTATGAATTAGAAGCTGCCTTGAGGGAGGAAACAGGACCAGAAGATAATAAATAATTATGGAAACCACATATTTTTATTTGTTTATTTACCACATTTATATCGTACCCTTTCTTCTATCGTGGAGCTCAGGGCAGCAAATGTGGGATCCTGAGGTGGTCTTCTCCTTGCTCCACCCATGCATTGACTGAGACCTGCTGAGTTATCTTCATTTGTCCTCATACCATGCTGAGGACAAGCAAAATCTTGGAAGAAAATGCTTAAAGGAAATGCTATTTCACCCCCATCTACCGCTGCCTTTTTTTTACGTGTCAAAGGTTATGAGCTGAAAAGTTGGGATTGGTTGGGTCGTTCCTAAATGATTTAGGGAACAGCTGCATACAATTCTTGCATACGACTCCACACAGAATTAACTAAGCCCTGCTTTATCCTAAAGTTCTTTTGCTAAGAACAGTTCTTAACCATCCTTGTGGACACTAGGATTATTATTATTTTTTAAGATGCATTGTTTCAGGAGACATGCTGAGGAACCTCATTTGAACAGATCACAGTGTAAAGTTCTTTTGCAAAGCCGCAAATATTGAAAATAATGTTCATGTTGGTTTGTTCAACCGGCAGAGCAGGAGACTTGGCTTGCAAAAAAGGAGGGCTGTGTTCAAAAGTTTCATTTGTGGGGATTGGCAAGGTCCACTTATATGCCACAATACTGAAGACTCATTCTGTTTGGTCACCTGCAGAGAGGTAAGATTTTTATTAAAGGAACAGAACATCACAGTTGTGCGTGAAGAGCACCCATTTCCTACATTCTGCTGGGAGTTCTGTATCTTAAAACATTCCTTTTAATTTATTCTAACATGTGCTTGCTTTGCATAACTTGTGCACCCCTAAGCCAAAGTACCTAGACTTTGGAAGTGTGAGCCGTGAGCCAGCTGTTCTCAGAGTTGGGTATGTGAAAGACAATACTAGGTTGGAGGTCTGGCAGTGGGATGGGGGGGCAGGACAAAGGGGCATTTAAACCCCCTCTAAATGAATGTGAATGTTTTATTAATACGGCCAAACAGCCAACATACCCCCTCCAAATGGTGGAACTTTTATTGATTTGCTGTCCTAATAATTACAATAAAAAAATCCTTCCTGTAGCACCTTAAAGACCAACTAAGTTAGTTCTTGGTATAAGCTTTCGTGTGCATGCACACTTCTTCAGATGTGTATCTGAAGAAGTGTGCATGCACACGAAAGCTTATACCAAGAACTAACTTAGTTGGTCTTTAAGGTGCTACAGGAAGGATTTTTTTATTTTGACTATGGCAGACCAACACGGCTACCCATCTGTAACTAATAATTACAAATTGTTACTTGCAGTTGTGAAGGATATATTTGTAATTTTAAAAATGAAAACCACCTGGTCATTAACTTTTTCAGACAGCATCATAGCATTGTTCATCCTCAGCTTAGCAGCCTAGTTGTCAGTGAATTTAGAATTGGTGCAAGGTGCCTGTGTTTTGAGTCAAGTAGCAAAGGCACCAGTGGGGCCAACCCAAGAGGATAGTAATTTGCTGTGGCCCTCCTGCCCTCCACTAGCTGCATGTGGCAAGCACACTTCGAAACATGCAGGAAGCAGGTCTGGCCATCTTCGGTAGAAGCAGCCTTCAGTACCTAAGACAAGCCTGCTGCGTCAGGCCAAAGGGGACCCATCTAGTCCAGCATCCTGTTCTCACTGTGACCAACCGGATGTCTGCGGGAAACCTCCCGGCAGGATTTCTGCACAAAAACACTCTCCCTTCTTCTGGTTTCCAGCAACTGGTATTCAGAAGCATTCCAACTGTGGAAGCAGAACATAGCCTTCATGGCTAGTTGCCATTGATAGCCCTCTCCTCCCTGAATTTGTCTAATCTTTCAAAGACATCAAGGTTGGTGGCCTTCATTATAAACCCAGATTACATGTAGTACAAACTGGTGGAAAGGCTCTCCATGCCATGTAAATCTTACTTTAAAACCCAGCAATTTCAAATTGGATTATATAGCAGTGGAATCTGACTCTGTCGTGGTGCAGTAATTAATGCCCCACCATCATCCAGAGTGCCCATTAATTTGCTGCCTGTAGTTCTCTAAGATTTCCTAAAACCAACTGTGTGTAAATTATACATAATTGAGGCATTGACTCTCAAGGCCCTGTTTACTCAGAATTCTTTTTAAAAAACGTTTTGTAATAACCTGCTCTCTCAGCACATAAGGAGGCGAAACACTGTACAATAGTGGGTTAAATAACAGCCCTTACTTAAGACAGGTAGCATTTTCTGCTTTGACTTTACACTGCAGGAGGAAGGTGTGATTTTATAGTTGATGTCCCACAACCTTCAACATTACGTACCTGCTGTGCATTTATGATCACTTAAAACTCTCATCTGGTTTAACTGGGTTTAAGCTAGTTCTGTAAGAGACGGATTCATTTATTCCACTACTAGTGATACTTCAAATGAGGCTTAAGTATATTCTTTTGTATTCTCTCTCTATCCTGAACAGCCATAAAATCACCCTGTTATGTGCCCTCCTGCTGAGGGGGACAGTGGTCTGTTGTGTGCTCATTGCTGGTGGAACTGAAGCAGGAGGCTCCCTGATTGACAGCAGTCTTTGGAGCCATTTTGCCACACGAGCTATCACGATGCCAACTTCACCGTAATCAATTTGTCCAGTATCCTGGCTATCTTTACAAAGCAGGTTTTCCTGTGGAAGCGGCAGCTGTTAATCCCACTGTTGTGTAATTTGGGATTGGGCCAGGAGGCGTTGGCCAGGGTAGTGCCTGCCCAACCTCATTGTATTGTGTTGACAAGTCTAGGGCTTTACTCAGCAGTCCTGTGCAGTTCCGGAAGCCCTTTGCTTGCTTCACTGGCACCGCCTTGGGGAATTAAGGGCACACAGTGCTGTTGAAATGCCTTTTGCTGAAAACCTATTCCAACTGCCGCGTCGCCTCCCTTGTGCTCTCCGCAGAACTCTTCCAGGGGGTCGGAGGAACAGACCACATTTAGTGGGTGTTCACATGGAGGGGGGAACATTCAATTGCTCAACAAGAAATCTTTACACGGTTAGGTTGAGAGTAGTGGCACCAAGTTGGATTCTACCCCTAGCAAGTGCCATGAATTCTACAGTGGCTGCAGCCGCATTGTATTGAATTGGAAGGGGTGGTGAAGTGTTCAGTCTTCAGTGAACAAAAAATGGCTTTGGATTTTTTTGGTGCTTCCTTTGTCTGCAGCATGTTGGGGGGGGCACAGCATCTGGAAGTTAAATTCTTGAACTGATGAGGATGCTTGTCCATCCTCATTATTTATTAATTAAATTTGTATGCCGCCCTTCATCTGAAGATTACAGGGTGGTTCACAACAAAAACGCAAAATACCTAATAAAACAAAAGCAAAGCAAAACAAAATAACAACACCCCTCCCACAGACACATTTAAAAGGTCGTAGAATGTTAATCAGCCGAACACCTGGGTGAAGAGAAAGGTTTTGCCTGGTGCCTAATGATATGTAATGAAGGCACCAGGCGAGCCACCTTGGGGAGAGCATTCCCCAAAATAAGCTAGCGCAAAAAAAGAGAGGCCTATTCTCGTGTTTCAACCCTTCAAACCTCCAGTGGGGGGGGGCGGGAGGAAACATGAAGAAGGGCCTCAGATGATGGTTGCAGAGTCTGGATCAGTTCATATGGGGAGAGGTGGTCTTGAGGTATTGAGGTCCTGAGCTGTCTAAAGCTTTAAAGGTCAAAACCATAGAATAGCGCAGAATAGCATTAGGTTTATTTGCTGCTGCATCACACTGTTGACTCATGTTAAGCTTGTGGTCTGCCAAGAACCCCTAGATCCTTTTCACATGTAATAATGGCAAGCCAGGTGTCCCCCATCTAATATTGGTGCAGCTGGTTATTCCTGCCTAGGTGTAGAGCCTTGTCCCCATTTAAATTAATCTTGTTCGTTTGGGTCCAGTTTTCCCAAGCGCTTCAGTTAAGGTAATCGTGAATCCTGATTCTGTCATGATTATCTTTCCATTCTCCCTATGGGCTTGGAGCTTGCAGAGGCTGGTGTTTGAAAGTAAAACCGTGCAGTTGAAGAGCACTGAGAGCTGGCGGTAAACTATTTGGGGAGAAATGTCTCCCAACAGTTTTTGAGGAGCAAAAACTGTCAGAAATCACCTGACGTGCCCCACAAGGGTTATATTTGCAAAATGCTTGTTTACAAAGCTATTGTACTACCAACCTTACTATATGCTTGTGAAACATGGACCACTTATAAACACCATCTCCAACTGCTCGAAAGATTCCATCAATGGTGTCTCCGAAAAATTTAACACTTCACTTGGGAAGACAGGCGAACTAATATCAGTGTACTGGAAGAAGCAAAGATCACCAGTGTCGAAGCAATGATTCAACATCAACTTCGTTGGACTGGTCATGTTGTGTGGATGCCTGATGATCGTCTTCCAAAGCAACTACTCTATTCTGAACTTAAAAATGGAAAGCGTAATGCTGGTGGTCAACAAAAGAGGTTTAAAGACTCCCTCAAGGCAAATCTAAAAAAATGTAGTATAAACACTGACAACTGGGAAACACTGGCCTGCGAGCGCTCCAGTTGGAGAACAGCCCTTACCAAAGGTGTCATGGGTTTGAAGACACTCAAACTCAGGACGCAAGGGAGAAATGTGCTAGGAGGAAGGCACGCTTGGCAAAACCACACCGTGATCCAACTCCTGCCCGGAAACCAATGTCCCCACTGTGGAAGGACATGTGGATCCAGAATTGGCCTTCACAGTCACTTAGACTCATTGTTAAAACCGTGTTTATGGAAGACAATCTTACTCTGCTACGAGTGGATCGCCAAAGATGATATTAGCAAAGCAGTAGCTATAAATTGCTCAGGACCGCCATACCTCAAAGACTGCCTCTTTTCATATGAACTGATCCCAGCCCTGCGTTCTTCCTCTGAAGCCCTTCTTTGTGTGCCTCCACATGAGGTCTGGAGGGTGGCAACATGAGAATGGGCCTTTTCTGCAGTGGCTCCCCATTTGTGAAATGCTCTAGCTAA